AGGGGGCACCTGAGGGTTCTGAGGAAATAAATGTATAGACCCTTATGTACAGATCTGTGTATAAACAATTTTTGTATATACATATAGGATAGCTTTTTTGAACTTATACAGCTGTACATAAAAGTAGCCAATATTAGTTTAAGCCTGTGTCAACAGTTGGAATTTTTTTCACTTGTACATTTGGGACTTTTTTTCTTTTGGTTGATTAAAGTTGCATATGCTAAGTGTGTGAATGAAGTGATGAAATGAATGGCATTGTTGTGTTTATTTCTTCCTTGAATCCCTTCCTGCCAGTTCTTCTGGAACCATGTGGTTCAGTGGGTTCCTTATGAAAGCATCTGAAGTTCCAGTTTTTCTTTAAAATGTTACAAAAACTCAGGAGGAGCAATCTATGGCTGCCTGTCTTGAGCCACAGATTTGAAAGGGCCTGCTCCAACCTTAAGCCGGGCTGAGCCTATAAGCATCCTTGTAGCTAATACCAAGATACATGAACCATGCAGTTTCCAACATTATACCACCTATTGAAAATAATGTGCCCATGTAGAGAGATGCTTCTCCCTTTTTTTTGTAAAAAAAAAAAAAACAACTCCAGGTGCAGAAACTAGTAGCAAATTAATTCCATTTGTTGGGTCAAAAGCCAGCGGCTGTGTTTTCAAATCAAAGTCCTCTCTAGGGAAAAACTGGACCTCAATTAAAGATTCAATCTTTAATCTCACTTCACCTATACAGAATTCTCCTTGATGCTGAAGCTGTATTAATGGAATCATCTTGATAATGTACTTCATGCCTTAGTTCACCTTGCTGGGGTTCTCCACCACCACTATTCACCTTAACTACATAAAAGGCACTGGAGAAAAGGAATCTATCGCAGTAACTTAAGATCTCGGGTTCCCTTTTCTGACTTGAGGTTTTTCATTTATCTGAGGTGACAAAATTTCTCAAGCCTCTGAAGTTAACTTGCCTGTGTCAATTTAGGGTCACAATAGCCATCGTGACTTCACATGGGAAGGTCAAGGTGGATTTCAACTGTTATGTGCCGTCGAGTCATTTGCAACTCATAGCGACCCTATGTACAACAGCCCTAAACTCTGCTCTATCCTGTGCCAATTGCATTGCCTGACACACCCATCCTGATTGCCCCAGTCACTGCATCAATCCACCTCAAAGAGGGTCTTCCCTTCCTGTGCTGTCCCTCCACCCTCCCAAGCATGATGTCCCTCTCCAAGGACCTGTCTCTCCTCACAACATGTCCAAAGTATGTTAGACGGAGCCCTAAAATCCTTGCCTCCAGGGAGTAGCCTGGTTTAACCCTCTCCAGGATAAAAATGTTTTCTTGGCAGTGCATGGTACATTCAGTACTCTTCTCCAGCACCACAGCTCAAAGGCATCAATTCTCCTATCCTCCCTAGTCATTGTCCAACTCTCTGATACGTAACAAGTGATAGCAAAGACCATGGCCTGTATCAGGCTCACCTTAGTCTCCAGAGGGGCACTGTTGCTCTGGAGTACTTTAGAAAGGTCCCTAACAGCAGACTTTCCCATCGCAATACGTTTTCTGATTTCCTGGCTGCTGGTGCCAAGAGTGTTGACCATGGAGCCGAGCAAACTGAAGCTGTGAACAATCTCAATCTCTCCACCATCCATCCCGATGCTACCAATTGGTCCAATGGTGAGAATCTTTGTCTTCTTGACATTGAGCCTCAGTCCATACTAAAGGCTGCAGTCCTTGACCCTCTGCAGCAAGTGCATGAGGTCCTCCTCAGTTTCGGCAAGCAGGGTTGTGTCATCTGCATAACACAGATTGTTGATAGATAGTCCACCAATCCTGACGCCACACTTCTCATAGAGCCCAGCCTCTCAGATAATCTGCTCTGCATACAGGTTGAAAAGGTATGGAGATAGGACACATCCCTGGCGTATACTCTTCCCTATTTTGAACCATGCAGTGTTACCCTGTTCTGTTCTGACGACTGCCTCTTGGTCCAAGTATAGGTTTCACATTAGCACAATTAAATGTTCTGGGATTCCCATTCTTCTCAGAGTCAACCACAGTTTGTTATGATCCACACAAACACCTTTGCATAATCAATGAAACACAGACATTCCTCTGGTATTCCCTGCTTTCAGCTAAGATCCATCTAACATCAGCTATAATATCCCTAGTTACCATGACCCCTTCTAGACCCAGCCTGGACTTCCGGCAGTTCTCTCCTGATGTGCTGCTCCAGTCGTTTTTGGATAATCTTCAGTAGATTCTTGCTTGCATGTGAAATCAATATTGTTCTGTAGTTTCTGCACTCATTGGGTCACCCTTCTTTCGAATGGGAACAAATAAAGATCTCTTCCAGTCAGTTGACAAGTGGTTGTTCTCCAGATTTCTTGGCACAACTTGGTGAGCACATCCAGGGCTGCATTTGTTAGCTGAAATATGTCAATTGGTATACCATCTATTCCTGGGGCCTTATTTTTTTTGCCATTTCCTTCAAAGCAGCTTGAACTTCTTCCTTCATCACCATGGGCTCTTGCTCAAATGTTATTAAATTTTTCTGTGTCTGCCAATTCCTTTTGATACAATGGCTCAGTATATTCCTTCCATCTTCTTTTAATACCTCCTGGATCATTTAATATTCTACCTAAAGCATCCCTGAGTATAGCAACTCTAGGTTTGAATTTGTTCTTCAGTTCCTTGAGCTTAAGAAATGCTGAACAAGTTCGGCCCTTTTGATTTTCCGACTCTAGCTCCTCGCACATTTCATTGTAATATTTTGCTTTGTCATTCCGTGCTGCCTTTTGGAATCTTCTGTTCAGCTCTTTAGTATCTTGAACTCTTCCTTGTGCTTTGGCTTCTCTACACTCCAGTGCAATCTTCAGAGTTTCTTCTGACATCCATCTTGGTCTTTTCTCTTCTTTGTAATGACCGTTTGCACTCTTCCTGGATGGTAAATTTGACATTCTCCCACAACTCATCTGGTCTTCGCTCATTAGTGTTGAAGACCTCGAACTTGTTCCTGAGATGATTCTGAAATTCAGGTGGGAAGAAATCAAAAGTCATAGTTTGGCTCCTGTGGATTTGGTTTCATTTTCCTCAGCTTCAGCTTGAACTTGCATATGAGTAGTTGGTGGTCTGTTCCACAATCCGCTCCTGGCCTAGTTTTCACAGCTGATAGTTTCTCCAGTGGTTTTTTCCACAGATGTGATTCCTATGCATACCGTCTGCTAGGGTTAAAAACCTCGAAACTAGAATCCATGTCCTGTCCTGAACCTTCTTCACTATCATGCTCCAAACCACTGTGTCGGTGCAGAGATATCCGGTGCACTGATGGACTGGAGGTTAAGAAGGTGTGAGCAAATGAGGATGCTAATGCAGTCTTCCAGGAGCTAGTATTAGTTAGCTGTTTAGGGGGAGGGCAGGGACCAAGTGTCTCCCTCAGCAAAGCATTACTCTTTCCAAGTTTGCAGTTTCTAACAAGTATAACTGGGTTTTATAAATAACCAAGGCCGGGAAAAAGTTAAGACAAGGGAGGAATGTGGAGAGACCTCCAAGTCAAAGAGCCAAAGGACCACTGAGAAGCTCCTTGGAGAATCAATCTTTCAGGAGTGAGGTCAGGTGGGTGCAATACTGCCTCCCACGGGAAAGCATTCAGGATGCCTGTGGAAATCACTGAGGAGAAATAAAATGGGAACAAAACCAGGCCTCCTCCAAGACAACTACGGCAAGGGAAATCAGGTCCACTGCCTCCACTATGTGACTGACAGAAATAATCACAAACAGGACCTAGGAACAGAGATAACCTATAGGGATGAACACTAATTCTTAATCCCTTTAACAGTGGCTAGTTGAGGAATGTGAATGTGACCTAATTTAGGTTAAGAGGCATAGGACAAATCGGCTCAAAGGTTTCTGGGAAATGGCTTCTCAAAAAAACAGAAGTTTCAGTCTTTTTCATTCACTGGATTCTAGATGTAAGTAAGGCTTGGAACTGTGGCAAGCATTCTGATCATGGGCCAAGCTTCCCAGCAGAGCCAACCGCTGAAGAGGGCAGAGTCATCTATTAGAATAAACCAGGAGCCTCAATGGCAGCAGCTACCTTGAATCCCTCTCAATTGGTGAAAGACCAAATTTCCTTAACATCTAAGCAGGTTAAATGAACATTTCTTGTTAAGTACAACTGAAAGTTTTGGTTTGTTGGTTTTTTACTTATTGCTATTCACGATTTAGTTTTTCCTCGTTGCAGATTTTATATTTTCTACATAGGATAAGTGCTCTGCAATAATAATATCATCTTCCAGAGTTGAGTTAAGATAATCTTCACCTTCTGGGTTATCTTCCAGTATTTCACGGACTGACTCTGTATCTTCATCTGCTGAGGTTCTGGAAGTACCTGCAGAACCAGGAGGAGACATGGACGGTGCTGATGAAGAATCTTCTGCGAAGACTGCAGGGGGCAGACTCCCACCGCTGTGTGCAAGGGTTTGAGCAGCCAGCTGGACGTTCCGCCTCCGCCCGAACACTCTTGGCACTACCTGGGTAGCAACAGTATCAAAGCCCATGTACACCAGTTGGTTAATACTCTCCCGGGAAGGACTTTGCTGAGGGCTGGTTTCTAAACCTGAATCACTTAACCACCACATTTAGTGGGTTGCTGATAAGAATCCTCAGGGTTTTCTCCAGGTCTCCACCAGCCTGGCAAACAGCCTGCGTGGTCACGTGTGTTGAGTAGCCTATTCCTTTCAAAGAGTTGATGTTCTTCAGATGACGTCTTTTCCCTCTTTCCTTATTTGAGCCAGTTCCTCTCTGCGGTTGGTGATGAGTGGCTGCATGATCCACGTTCCCATCACACTCGCAAGCCCAGTCGGGCCTCTTGCGCTGTAAATCTCAGCTGCAATAAATCATGAACTTTTGATGGATCAATATAAAGCTCTTTAAAAAAGTTGATGTGCCTTGTTGAGATACTCGCCTCTTCACCATTTCCACTGTGATAGTTTAGGATAAATTGAAGCAAGTCAAGTCTTAAGATTAACACCACCTCTTTGCCAGTTTCCTCTGATGTGGGCCAATCTCTGGTGATTCTCTCCATAGCAATTTTTAAAACATTTCAGGCTAAGTTTAATTTTTTTCCCCCCTGCATCATCGAGGCGTTCCAGCTGCTCCAGGCAGAAGTAGCACCACATAGTATCGAGCTGGAGCACGGCATAGTTATTTTGCTCTTACTCTGCCTGAGAGTTCCTCACATCCTCTTCAGACTGCTCCAGCTCAACCAACATCGCCTTCACATTGTGCGTCACTCCTTGCTCTTCCAGTGTTTTCCCTATTTGAAGTGGTTTCTTATTTATGACAACTTTGATATAATTTTCTTGGAATCCAAAGGTTTCAGCTATTTTGGATCTCAGTTCCCTGCCAGTGATGTGTAATCGGCTCTTCAACAAGTTCTTCGTGTCTTGCCTTAGTGGTAGAAATATCTCACTTGTGGCAACTCCTGTTGGTCTATAATTTTCATTTCCTGTTCCACGTTCAAGCATTGTACTTCTTCTATTATTTTTTTTTTCCACCTCATTTTCACAATATTCTAGCTTGTCAGAGTATTTCTTAGTCAGGTCCTTCAATGCCAAGCCAACTTCTTTATTTTCATCTGTATACAGAGGTTTCCAAAGTTGAATTATATCTTCCCTTAAAAACTGGGTTAATTTTGCTTGAATATATTTCTTTTGTGCCACCTTGTGCCAGTGCCTCGCCCACTGCCACCGAGTGCCCAGATGCAGTGGTGCCGCCATTTATTTTCCTTCCTACTGAAAGTATTCTAACAACACAAACAGGGACCTCTGGTGGCCTAATGGTAAGGAGCTGTGTTGTCAACCTGAAAGCATGTGGTTTAAATCCACCAGCTGCTCCATGGAAGACTGCCTTTGAATACTTGCTGAAAGGTCAGGTATGGGTCAGAAAAGACACCAAGACACAGCACAGGCAACTCAAGCCATGCTAAGAGCACAAAATCTCCAGTTCCCAAAGTTTATGACAATGCCATTAGCCGCAGCAAAGCTCTGCTGCAGCAGCCTTGTTCCCAGGAGCATTCTTAACGATCGTACGTGCATCCCAGAACTACCTACCAAGTCTAACCCCAAAGACGACGAGGCTGAATCGGCCTCAAGTACTAGCAAATCAGAGAACAGAACCATAAAAGCAAGAATTGCAGCAACCTCCTTTCTTCCACATCGTCCACACAGTGCTAGATGTTTACCCAGTGAATTCTGCATGAGGGTTTCCCAAAAGCCCAATATGCTCGGGCAGCACAGCACCCCTCCCTGGACATCCAGAGCTTAGAAAGCCCACAGTTCATAGACAAACTGAGGCAAGCTTACCTCTATCCTGAAGGTGCCACTGATCTAAAGTCTATACCCTCAAGCTAGACTGAGAGAGGAGACCTGAGAGGACCCAACAGCACTGGGTTTGGGGACAGTGCTAAACCCAAGCTCAAGGAAGATCACCACAGAAACACAAATTCTTCATTCAGGGAAGCAGAACCACCACCACACTGGAGAAAGGGTGCTATGTGGATAACCATTCACAATCTACTTCAGCTTGCCCCATCTAGAAATAAACTCTTACTCTCTCTTCCTGCAAACGAGGCCCCTTCCAGATTCCCTGAGGACTGCCACTAGTTAGCATCTACTCAGTGGCACTTCCTTTTTTAAAATCCTACTCTCTGTGCTCGCTTCGGCAGCACATATACTAAAATTGGAACGATACAGAGAAGATTAGCATGGCCCCTGCGCAAGGATGACACGCAAATTCGTGAAGCGTTCCATATTTTCGACCCTGAAATGAACCAGTCTGTAACGAAGGCTAACTCCTAACTCCTTTCACCTACAAATTTCGTCTTTGGATACAAAGCTAAGTGGATAGTCCTTACAGAGGGACTGTTAAAAAAAAATCCTACTACACAAATGTTTATTTTCATTTCTTCCAAAAAGTCATCTATTCCCAAACTGAACTTTCCCCTGGATGCATATGTGTCCACTCTCTGTTCATAGCCTCATTAGCTCAGTCCACCACACCAATGTTTGCCAAATAGTTTTCTGTCCTCAAATTCTTTTACTCCTGACTACCAAAATCTCTGATAATGCCCAAGTTATATGGTTGGAAACAGGAATGTCATGGAGATTCAGGCAGCAAGCTTAGGTTATGGAGGAGGGGACAGGCCCAGCTCACAGCATGGTTCAGCTCAATGTGGATATGTAGCTACATGCTTACTAATGTAGGCAAGAAGCCAAAGAAATAGTAACAAGAGCCAACCGGCACCAACTATCTTAAAATCATCACCCTAGAAGGGAAATACTATGACAATCCCTATGTTGCATAAGGAATATGAGACTCATAAAAATTAAGTCTTCTGATCAGATAATTACAAGTGGGCCTATAATTCAAACCTTGTCTGGCCAGGTACTTTATTCAACTGCCATACTATACCATCTCCCAAAACTGGCCAACCTTATAGGGAATAATCCACTAACTCAGATAAAATCTTTCTTGTCTCCAGCATCATGTGAGAAAGACTACTTGAAAGGACTGAAGGTTACATCCAACTGGAAGGGTTTCCCATGATCAATCATCAATTGAGATACTGCTGGTCACATTTATACTTGAGAGCAAGCTCTCAAAATGCAGCTGTCTTAACATACATACAATACCCTCCTCCCAACTTAAGAGTCCATCTGAAAACAAATTCTCATACGGATACTGCACACAGTCATCAAATCAGGTTCTTTATGCTGTACAATATACAAGGTGACATCAAGATAAGGAAAGTGAAGTTCCAGTTTGGGTTCTTCCATCTCCCTCCCTTGAATTCTGATCCGACAGCTGCCAAAGCCAAGAAAGGGAATTGGGGGACAGAGTGCTTGGTCCTGGGGATGCAGTTGCTGTGCAGGCCTGGCAGAGGCGGTGGGAAGGGTTCACTTCTTCACAATCTGAATGACATCCTCGTCCTCCAGCGTGTGATCTTTACCCACTTTCTGAGGATTGTGTTTCACAGAGAGACCCCAGACCAGAGCACTGGATGGAAGGAAAAAACAATAGTCAGTGAAAATGGCAATCTAACCTCTGTCCCCACTCATTAGGAACTACCTTTCTTTTCATATTCTGCATCCCAGCTCTTAACAGCCACAAGTCAATCACCAGTCAAGGTTGTTAGGATTCCTCTCATCCCACAGCCAGTTTAAGAGGTCCAAAGAGAAAAAGGTACGGATTTGCTACAGAGACATACCATAAAATTCAGACTGGAAATTGGTTCTTAACTCTTTAAATGTCAGTAACACAGATTGTAACAGAATTCTCACTTTTTATTGAGTCTACTAAAACCACCAATGGGAGCTGATAATAGAAAAATTTTGCTCCTTAAGCTATACTAGGAAAACGCTTTTCCCATCAGTACAGTTACTGTTATGTCCAACTAATTTCTTAAGACAATATGAAGGTATCTTATATCCATACATATACCTCCAAAACTGAATTAGTAAACAAGACAGTGACTGAGGCCAACCTGACAGAGCTAATGATTTATCTAAGGATGGAAGAAGTCAGCAATAGTGTTATCTATTGTCTTTGCACCAATGCATTTTGGGGGGAAAAATCTATATTCCAAAAATAGAGAACCTTTTTTTTGGAAAAAAAATTTCTATTAGAAACATTTAAATTTTTCAAATTAACAAGCAAATATATTTTTAGCACTCATATTTAATGCCTGCAGTAAAGTCACTGCCATGTATTTTGTTAAGGGCAACGCATACTGAGTTAATCCTTCGGGAAAACAATGCTGCTATCCATCATCAAAGCCATGAGGATTCAGAAGTCTACATCCAGAGTAAAATAAACTCAGAAAAAGCACTCGGTCTGAAGACTAGAAAACTACCTAAAGTGGCAAGATATAAGAGAGGATATGATTATAAGGACTCGTATCATCACATACATTTGAAATACTAAAGAGGACAAATGAAGAGACAAAACTTTATTGGGGTTTTATCAGGCAGGAGCTGGAAAAGGGGGACACATACATTACTGCTTAAGGGAAACTAATTTTCTGTCCAGGGTGATGAAAAACTTGAAAATGGACAATGGTAATGATTACATAGCATGAAGAGTATCATTAATATCCCAAAGTAGCACAATGAAAAATGGTTAAAAGGCAACATTTTTATTTTTATATAGTCACAATTCAAAAAAGATACGTCTTCATGTAGAAAAGGACATGAAGAGAATGGGACAGAGTCAAATGCAACTAGAAGGAGTGAGGCAGAATTATTTCTAGTATGATGTTAAAATGCCATTTGTAGTTTGTATAACAGAAAAATAAGATACAGTGGAAAACAGTGCCAAATATAATTCTACTTACTTGATATGTACTTTCTCCAAAATACTGTTTCCCCTCTCCTTTATCTCCCTACTGAGTAGTTCTGGGGCTCGGAATAGCATTCCCTCAACATGGAAGAAACCCAGATGGAGCAGTATGGAAATGTGGACATGGTTTAACTTTCTAAAAGAAGTTTTTCCACTGACTCAAGGAAGTGCCAAAGTACATGGTTAGAAGCTCTGGAATGTGAAGAGCAGTAGTTAAGTGCTCAGCTGTTAACCAAAAGATTACTAGCCATTCTGTAGGAGAAAGATGCACCAGTCCCCTTCCATAAAGGCTTAGTCTCAGAAACCTCAAACACCAGTTCTACTCTGTGCTATAGGGAGGCTATGAGTTAGTATCGGCTCAATGGTATACTCCAAACAACATATGAAATGTAGTCACTTTAGATAAAAGGTATGGAGTGGCTCAGAAAGGACTTCATCTATTTTTCAGATCAGACTCAAGTATTTTTAGAATGTCACTATTTAAATGCTTTCCTACAATTATTTTCTAATTTTGGCTTCTGTTTTGTCAAACTCTTTTGACATTTTCAGCCTATTAAAGATAAAAAGAACTATTTATAAATGCTATAATATAGTTAAGCAAAGTATTTCTCAGAAGGTTATGGGCTGCAATTCTAAAATTACTTTATATGCACTGCATTAAACAAGCAAATACAAAGATTGTAGGTAACGGCAGTCAAGATTCTTACTAAAAAGAAAAGGAGGCTAAAATGAACTCTGCCGTAAATGTCTTCATTTTAGGGAGCTCTGGGGGCATAGCCAGTAGGGAGCTGAAATGCTAACTCAAAGGTGGTGTCTCTTGAGTGTTTCAAATCCACCAGAGCATCCACGGAACACACACGAGCAATCTCCTTCTGTGCAATTTACAGCCTCTGAAAACCCATGGGAGGGTCAGTTTCAACTTGACAGCCATGAGTAAGAGAGTGAGTGTATAAATTTCCAGATTAAATAAACAAGGGCAAAACGATAAATCTAAATTGCAGTCGAATTCTAATAAATAAATGTCAAATGAAAGAGAATAGAAATAGAGAATGACCATTAGGCAAACACTGCAGTGATAAACTGCAAACAAGCTCCACCAATCAGGGATAATATTTGAAGAAACAAGTTTTGCAAAATCTCAAAGCATCTCCCCTAGAATACGTGTCGAGCATAAAGAGGATGGCACCTATCCAGTGAAGAAAGCCAGCAGTCACCCACTTAGCCAAGCGACTGGGGCAAGTATTTCTATCAGTGAAACAACATAGTGAACTTTGGGGTATTAATGCTGAGAAGAACAGTCATTTTGGTGGCATTCTTACCACCGATCTCACTAATGCACTAATCTCTTTGTTCATGAGAAAACTCTGGGAAAAAAACTCAAGTATTATTCTACAAATAAGTGTCAAAGTCATGAAAGACAGGTGGAAATGCTGCAAATTATAAAACAAAGAGACAAAAATAAATTCCCTGCAGGATATGGGTAAGTCTCTCGAATAGAATATATACACTTATGTGGAGAAAGCAATACAAGGTCTGTGATTTGGTTAAATTACATTCATGTTAATTTCCTATACTGCATTATTTTACTAGGATTATGCGAGCTGATAATAGGAAAAGTGAGGTTAAGAGATATACAGAAAATCTCTGTACTGTTTTTCCACATTTTCTCCAACTTTATAATTAGTTCATAATTAACATTAAAATATATATATATTATATCTCAGTAGTGAAAAGGATGAGAAAGAGGATCTTCTACTACCTCTCCTTAAGCCAGCACTTCAAAGGAAGACTCCATGCCCAGTGGAAGCTAGTGGCAGACACTGACAAAGGGAGAGGAAGGGGAAGCCAGGGCTCATCATACCTTTAGCCCATCTCACCTTAAGGAGACTCCTCAAGCTCCGTCTGTTCTACTCTGCATGACTTGAGAAGTCATTGTTGAGTTTTAACCAAGCCAAGCACCACAGAAGCCTCCTAGCTACCACACTTCTTTAAAGATATCCCAACAAGTCCTCCGTAATGAAACTACAGAAGGAGTTCCCATGCGCCCACAATACTCACTATTTAAATTCTTTAATAAGATTTTTGTGAATCTTCATACAGAAATCCTCCACTGTGGTCCTGGAGTCAGGCAGCACAACTGGGGATGTGTAGTCTGGTAACTGTCCCTTGGGTTTGGTATAACTAGAATAGAGGGAACAGAATTTGGCTATCAGCTTGGAAAGTTTCATATGCTGAATGCAAACCAACCCTCCACCACCCGAGATCAGGTCAGAATAACCTCTAACCTGAGAAAAAAATAACCTCAAGCTGGCCTATAAAATGAAAGGAGCTAATCTGCTTAAAATTCCAAAAGAGAGAAGATTTTGCTAATGAGCTCCAGGGGGTATAGCTCTGAGACTGTCTGATTCAAATCTTACAGCAATATTCCCCCATCGACTGATACTTACATCCTCACTAGTTTCAGATAGTCCCAGATCTTTTCCAGTAAGTCATCAAAATTCCAGCGGTGGTGAGCAGAGATAGGTACACAGTGAGGTACCTTATAGATGATATCCAATTCTTCAATGGAGATCTGATCAATTTTATTTAACACATAGATGCAGGGGATATAAACTCTACAGGAGAAAAAGAAAAATATGACATTAGCCTGAAAATTGTTGACAAGGCTGTTATATCTGATTATCATCACTTCTTCACCCAGGACCTGATCAAGTGATGCAGATCAGTAAAAATGAAGTTTTTCTCTCAAACAGGGTACAAAGTATGATAAAAAGTGAACTATAGGTTAAGAAGTAACAAAATCCAAGCTATGAGGACCACTCGTAGAGCAGTACATAGCTGTGCTAACCGTAGGTCAGTGGTTTGAATCTACCAGTCACTCAAAGGGGAAAATGGGTAATCTCCTCCCATAATAGCCCCAAAGAACTGATGAAGGTTGGCTGTGAGTGACAAGTGGCTCTGAGGCAGGGAATAGATGGTGGCAGCCATGCACCCACTTTCTGAGAAATCACATGCTTCAGTGGAGCACGAAAAGCTTTGGAGTCACACAAACTGACTCAAAGCCTAACTCAGGGGGAGCTCTGGTGGCCTAGTGGCAAGAAGCTACAACTACAATCCCAGAGGTGCGTGGTTCGAATCCACCAGATGCTCTGCCGGGGAAGGAGGGGCAATCTCCTCCTGTACCAGTCAGATCTGATTTGACGGTACACGCACACAAAAAATAAAAAAAAATTAAAAAAAAAAAGGAAAAAAAAAAAAGCCTAACTCAGATTGAATCCACCAGATGCTCTGCTGGAGAAGGAGGGGCAATCTGCTCAACAGTACACGACGACAAAAAAAAAGCCTAACTTGGTCTGATCTATGTATTCCAATAAACCAACCACTCAAAGTCAGCTCCCTACAAAGTTTTAGGAACTGTTAAAAATGTACAGTAATTTCTAACATTCTTTATCATTTTTAAAGAATAAAAATTTATTAAAAAATAAACACATCTAACGATGCCTGTCACATTTCTAGTGTCAATCAAAGTGGACACTATGGTTCCCATAATTAGGCAAGCAATAATTTTCAGCCTTCAGTTGCCTCATGTGAAAAATACTTAATTCAAAATGTTAGCTTTTGTTTTCAAATGAGGAACAAAAAAATGTCACCAAATAAATAGGAAAACAACTACAAATAAAAGCCAAGAATAGTTTTCACATTGGTTTATATTATAAAGAGCTAACAATGAAAAGGTTTCATGGAATAAGCTCTCAGCTATGTGCCCACAGATGAATGCACAGGCCTGGCCTGCTCTCAGGTCTGTAAGGCAACCACAGGGTTTCTCAGATGAGTTACTTTTGGGGGCACAAAAAAAAGAGAACCCATCTTCTTTCACTTCATATGACACAGAATGTAGGTGACAGTATTGTTCACAGCAAGTAATTAAAGGGAAAAACCAGACCACCATTGTCCAATTTTATCACTAGGAAAGATATTAGAAATTAAGACTAAGGTCTCATTTTACAGCTAAAGAAACCAAACTCCACTATTATTTAAGAAGGAGCAACAATGAATGAATAGAAACCCAAAATCTCTGTACATGTTCATTAAAGTTAATAAAATTTTTAAAAAAGCCCAAAAAACCAAACCAACAACATGTCATAAAAAAGAAGGAGCATCACTAGAGTTAAAGCTGGTGTTCAACTGATGACCCAAGATTATTTCCATGAACAAAATCCCACTGCTGTCAAATCAATTCTGACTCAGTGACCCGAAAGGACAAAGGAACTGTCCTTTAGGGTTTCCAAGGCTGTAACTCTTTACAGGAGCAGACAGATTCATCTTCCTCCTACAGAACAATTGGTGGATTCAAATCATCAATCTTCTGGTTAGCTGTGCAATGCCTAGTCCACTGCACAATAATTCAAACTCGGGCAGCAGGGTACATACTGTATCAGTACCTGTTTCCTTCTACCACGTCAATGAGGTCATCAGCTGTGGCATCACTACGCAGAGTCACATCAGCATTATGAATTTTGTATTCAGCCAGAATGCTCTTCACAGTTTCAGCATCCAGCTCACTCTGAGGGCACTGAACAGAGTCAAGAAGTTAATGAGTGGTCCGAACAAAAACAGTTTCCCAAGTTTACACATAAACTTAGATAATCCTAACTAAAGTGCAAAGTCTTCTTAAAGATGGTACTATGGAGGAGAATAACTGCCTTTTAGTTGCCATAATTAGTAACTAGCACTTTCTATGTGGAAAGGAAAGAATCTTTGAATGATAAAATTTCAAACATAAACGGATAATGGAAAAGAACTTTTGGGGAGTATCGCTTAAATGTATGTCAGTCAAATCACCTAGACTTCCAGATGTTAAGTTTAGGGGAAAATTCTCAGCCTTCAATTACTCAAAATACTTTTTTTTGTTTACTCAGTTTCCAGAATTCCAAACTCTTCAAGTTCCACTTCATCTAAGAACTCTTATTTGTAGGTTTATCCCAATTCTCAACTTCTAATCATGGGAAGAAAAGGGGGAATTGGTGGTGATTTAGTGGTAAGAACTTACACTTCCAAACCAAAGGCTTTTGGTTTGAATTCACCAGCAGCTCAAAAGATAAGCAATCTCCTCATAGTGTGATTTACAGCCTCTGAAATTCCACTGGAGGGTCAGCCATTAGTTGGTTCCAACTCGAAGGCACAGAATAACAATCATGGTAACACTCCAGGGCTCAATCTGAACCTCTTTTCTTTTGCATTTATATTCACTACCTTTAAGAGATCTCACGTAGATGTTCATGGCTTTAGAGCTGATTAATTAAACTCCAGCCCAGATCATTCTTCTGAACTTATATACTTCCTTAACAGTACATCAGAAACCTTGAAAACTGGCTTTTCTATAGCCCTCATTGGGGCATGGCCTCCAGCTACCTTACATGTGAATACACTGTCTTGCAAATAATCAATAGCTGTGGGACCAAAATGAAAGAGCACTTTCCACACCGACACACAGTGGTGGAAAGGGTGATGAGACTCTGGTACTGCTGTGAAGAGACTGTGGCAGAGTAACCAGAGGAACCCTGGTGATAGAGCCACATTTAAAGGTTTTGCTTGCTATAAAGATGATTAAAGGAAAAGCTGACTTGTAACTGCTCTGAGATAGTTTGCTGGATCATTGAGGAAATAAGAGGTGCATTTGTGTTGAACTGAACCTCAACTTTCACTAACTGAAGAACTGTACCTTATTAATCTGGCCTGGGACTACTGGACTAAATTTGGACTTGATTGTGTGTTATTTTTTGCCTCCCACATGCCCCAAACTATTTCCCTAATTAAACCCTAAAACTGTGAGTAAAGCTGCAACACACATTAGACCTAATGATTGGTAGAAATAGGTACAGGAGCATATGTGTTGGCATGTCTGACCATGAAGCTATTTGTTTAGTGCTTTAGATGTCACTAATAGGGACAGTTCCCCTTTTTCAAGCTAGCAGACTCAGTCAACCCCATGTAGCATCTGCTCCTTATACAAGTGTCTAATCTTAAATTTAACAGCCTGGTTTCCCCCTCCTGTCTAATTTTATTCTTTCCAAAGCCTTAACATTTCAGTTACTAAGAGGTTATTTTTTGAGCTCAGACAAAAATTTAAGGTCATTTCTGACTTTGTCTCACAACTTGCATCCAACCCATCAGCAATTTCTATTGATTACTTTCATTTCCACTGTTAATACCCTGATCTAAGAAGTCTTCATTCATGTCTTGTATGCATTATTACAATGACCTCGCAAATGGTTTTTGTTTTTACTCCATTTCAGTCTATTCTTAACACAACAGCCAGTAGAATCCCATTAAAACCCAAGGTAACAACTCGTATTTACTGGGATGGCTATTATTTGACGAATGAAAACTAATACTGTTGATTAAGATGTGAAGAAACTGGAGTCCTTTTGTATCACTGGTAGGAACGTAAATGGTATAGCTCCTAAGGAAGAGTTTGGTGGCTCTTCAAAAGTTACATTACAAATAGAATTTGTCCTATGGCAAAGAAATTCCATTTCTAGGTATACAGACAGACTTGAATGCAAGGACAAGGATTCAAACAGGTACTTGTACATGAGTGCTCATTTTAGAATTACTCGTTATTCACAATAGATAATGGGGAGAAACTACCCAATAGATAATGGGGAGAAACTACCCAAGTACACATCAACTGATGAAAGCACAAACATATGTGGCATATTCATAAAACAGAGTATCACTCAGTAATGAAAAAATTAAATTGATACATATGATGATACAAACACTGAAAGCAGAACCATGAGTAAACCAGGTCAGCAACAACCGGACTAATAACGTATACTCCCACGTACATGAAGTATCTAGAACAGCTAAATAAATGTGTAAAGATACAAGTTTATTAGTGATTACCAAAGCCTATGAGGAAGAGAGAAAAGGTACTAATTTTGAAGCCATACTGAGTTTCTTTTTAAAGTTTTACTAAAATTCTAAGAAATCAGTGGTAATGGGAGCACAAAATCATAATGTACTTAGCACTAAATGGTACACTTAAAAAATTAAGGTCAAAGCTGATAATTTTGTTAGGACTTTTACCACACAATAAAACTAGACATAAAAACCCCAAACTAGGCCAAATCATGCTTACTCAGAGGATCAGAATTCAAAGTAAAAGCTTATATGGTTCTGTATCACGACTTTATCTCTTAACCCTCTTCATGTGCTCACTGCTAAACCTCACACATGAAAAGTCATACTCTCCTCAGTGTCTACACACTCCGATATTCTCTCAACACAAGATGCTCTTCAACTAGTTCATACTTTGATGTCATCTCTGTGCAATCTTCCCTGACCATGCTACTTAAAACAGCTCTTCCACATTAATACTATTTTCTTTATCTTTTTTTCTACTTTATTTTTGTTCTTATTTTCATCTTCTAATGTACTATGTTTACTCATTAACTCAAAACTCTGAGAATGTTTGTTCTCCATTACATTCTCAGAGCCTAAAATGCTTGTGCAACAGCAGGTGCTCTAAGAGTTGGCACTGAATGAAAACATGACAGTGATAAACTAATCCATGCAAAGAAAAGATGCTCTACATCCCCCAAAAAGATGACCAAAAGAGGAAATGCCACTGCAAAGGTCCATCTGAGATGAACTCCTGCTCCACTCTTGCTATCTTTTTGTCAGTCTTTGCAAGGTCATTGTGTTAGCTCAATTAGTGCAGAAGGAAACTGATGAATTTCCAAATGTCAGTGTCACTCCAGTGCCCACAACAATCCCTCTGGCAACCTGCCCTATTCTGCTTTCCTGACTTACAGTGGCTGTCAAGTTAATGCCTCCTTTGTCCTTCTTCTTAAAGCCAATGTTGGGGGCTTTGCTGTTCAAGCGAATGCCAAAGCCTTCCAGTTCATTTTCAATGATCTTCTTATGCCCCAAAGGCTTTAGGACATCCAGAACAATCAGGATCAAGTTACAGGTCCGGGCCACTGAAGAAGTGGGGAAGGGGGAGAAAAAAAAGATACCAAAGTAAAGGTCAATAAAGCTTTAAATAACCCAAATACTCAAATAGCCAGAGGGTGTAATTCCCCTACATTAAAGAGACAATGGATTTTTACAAATAAATAATGTTGCTTAAACTACAAAATCTTTTTTCCAAAAGTCACTTTAAAATAAACTCCATAGTTTCCCCAAAGTTGGTACATTCTAGACACTCTGGTGGAAAAATTAGTCAGAATAAAGATGCTAACCAGAAAATGGCCCAAATCTAAAATAATTTTTTGTTATGTGCTGTCAAATCCAAATAGATCCTCCAGCAGGTTTTCAGAGCCTGTAAAGTACCAAGGAAGGAGATTGCCTATCTTTCTCCAACTGAGTAGCTTATGGATTTGAACTAAGTGCCCTTGGGTTTGCAGCCACCAGATTCCCCTCAAACAGAAAAAACATAAAGCAGAAAAAACTCTACAAGAAAAAGATCTGGTTAGCATTTTACTGAGATCTATTTTAAAAACAATAAACAGTGCCCATTCTCAGAATATGATGATGAATATGCATACCAGTACCAATCACTCCAATCAAAATGTAGTATCTTTCCTACCATCTCCAGGGTCTGTTGTGCCCTCCACTCTCAACCAACCACCATTCAGCTTTCTATCACCAAAGCCTAGAGTTAGCACTTCTTATAATTTTATGTCAACGCACTCACACAACATTTCATACTCTTTTGTGCCTCTCTTAACTTACCTTAATGTTACGGAAATTCATTCATGTTGCTTATGTATCAAAATTTCATTCCTTACATTATGTAACAGTACTCTGTTTTGTTCAAATGAAATCTATACCTAGACCAAGAAACTGTTGTCTGAACAGAACAAGGAAATACTGCATAGTTTAAAATCAGGAAGGATGTGCATCAGAGCTGTATCTTGTCTTCAAAACTATTCAAGTTGTATGCTGGGCAATTCATTTTAGAAGCTAGACTCTATGAAGAATGTAGAATCACGATCAGAGGAAGATTTAACTTGTATTATGCAGATGACAGTACCATGCTTATTAAAATGAGGATATTTGAAACACATGCTGCAGAGAATCAAAGACTACAGCCTTCAATATAGATAACATCTCAACAAGACAAAAATTCTCACCACTGCGCCAACAGGCAACATCATCACAGATGGAAAAAAGATTGTCAATCATTTCATCTTGCTTGGATCAACAATGAACACCTCTGGCATCAGAAGTCAAGAAACCAAAAGAAATATTGCTTTGGGAAAGTCTCCTGTAACGGAACTCTGCAAAATACTGAGGAACAATGATCTCAGTTTGAAGACTATGGTGCATCTGATTAAAGCCATAATCTTTTCAATCACTTGCTTGCACCTGTTTGAGATTTTACTAAAATTTAGGAAAACAGAGGTGATGGCAGCACAACAATGATAATGTAATTACCACCAATTGGTACACTTAAAAATTAAGGTCAAAGCTACTAACTTTATAACTTTCAACACACACATACACACTCACCTCACCAATAAAACTAGGCCAAATAAGGTTTACTTAATGAATCAGAACTCAAAGTAAAAGCTTATATGAGAGCTAGACAATTAATAGTGATGACAGACAAAGAAACAATACCTTTAAGTTCTGGTGTTAAGAGAAGAATACTGATTATCCCATGGACCACTAAAGAACAAATGACTTGGAAGAAGATATAGTGCTCCTTAGAGACAAGGATGGCGAAGCTTTGTCTCACACACTTTGGGCATGTTGTTAGGAGGGGCTATTCCCTGGAAAGGGCCATAAAAGGTGAAGGGTCAGCAAAGAAGAAGATGACCCTCAACAAGAAGGACTAACAATGATTACGCCAATAATCAGAGATGAGGAGGATAGCACAGGGTAAGACAGGGTTCAGATCTGCTGTTCACAAGGTTGCTAAGAGTGAGTCTTACTCAACTCAGTAGTCTGTAACAAAAACAAAATTATCTTTGTATGGATAAATAATTTATTTGTCCATTAATCTGTTGATTAACATTTGGATTGTTTACAAATTCAGAAGAATGTGGCATCAGGATTGGAGGAAAACTCATTAATAACCTGAGCTATGCAGATAACACAACTTCACTTCCTGAAACTGAAGAGTACTTGAAATACTTGCTGCAGAAAATTAAAGGCCTTTAATATGGGTAATATCTCAACATCAAGAAAACAAAAATCCTCAAACCTGGACCAACAGGCAGTATCATGTAAATGGATAAAAAGAATTGCAAGTATTAAGAAGAAAAAAAATGTTCCAGCACCAAGATATAGACAATCTGGCACCACTGAAGAAGCAGCAAGATAATGGAATAAGGAAGAAGCCCTTTTTCTTCCATCTACACCTATGGAAGTAACCTTCCAGCTGAACAGGAGACTGGACATGAAATGAGACCTAGGAGGAGGAGAGGAGAGCCAATACTGGCAGGACTGAGAACTCTGTTGGACAACTAACTGGGCATGTGAAGCCAATACTGACAGGACTGAGAACTTGGGAACAATGGCCTAAAGCCTTGAGGCTTAGGTGTTTGCGTGCATATTTCAGGAACTATTTTGACTGTATTGTTAGTAATCTGGATTATAATCTTTTGACTCCTAAAGAAAAAAATGTTGTCGCTGAATTGTGGTACTGGAGGAAAGTACTAATTATCACACAGACTGCAAAAAAACAAATATTTCTTGGAGAAAGTACAACCTTAAAGACAAGGGTGGTGAAACATCATCTCCCATACTCCTCTGGACAAACTGTGAGGAGGGGCCAGTTCTTGGAAAAAGATATCAAGCTGCGAAAAGCGGAGAGTCAGATAAAGAGGAAGATTCTCAATAAGACAGATCGATGCAGTGACTTTTACAATGGGCTCAAGCATATCCGAGATGGTGAAGACAGTACAGGATAGAGAAAGGTTCTAATCTGTTGTTCATAGGGTTGCTAATGAGTCATGGCTGCCTTGATGGCACCTAATAATAATAGCAAATTCAGATAATTATGACTAAAGCTATTAAGAATATTTCTGAGGAAAAAGATTTTTATTTTTCCCTGAATAAATTTGAGAAAATGGAACTTCTAGGTTATATGAGTTGTAAGACAAGGCTAAACAGCTTTCAAAGGCATTTTTATGATTTTACATTACCATCAGCAATGCACAACAATTTCAAATGTTTCTCATCCTCGTCAAACTGTTACTACCATTATCATTTTCAATTTTAGCCATTCTACTCAGTATGCAATGTTATCTCACTGTGACTTTAATTTGCATTTTCATGATGACTAATGATGCTTAACATCATTTTATCTGTTAAATGGCTATTCATTCATCATCTTTTTGAGTTTACTCTTTCACTGATTTTTTAAATTGTCTTATTATTGAAATATGAGGTACTAAATCCTTTCAGATATAAACATTACAAATATTTTCTTCCTAAATATGACTTGCTCTTTCATTTTAATTGTGTCTATTATAAAGCAAAAGTTTAAAATTTTGATAATAAGCAATTTCCCAACTGTTTCTTGAAAGGCTGGTTATTTCAGTATCCTATTTAAGAAATCACTGCCTATCCCACAATAGCAAACATTTTTTTTTATCTAGCTGAAATTTATTTGGACTCTATAGAATAGTTAATCAAATATTCTGGGAACTTTCTGATAGTTGATCAACAACTACTTCATTCTTCCCCCCCCAAAAAAAGTAAATCATGTGGTCAAAAGTCAAACAATAAAAAAATAAAAATATGAGAACTACTATATAATTTATTCAAGTAAGGAAATGTTTGAGAATGAAGAGAGATATTAATGAAGCATAAAGCAGAATAATGTTCAAGGAGAAGGGTTTCTCTCAACATTCTATAATCAAAAAGGCCTATTCTAGTGTTCTCTAAGCTATACTTAAAAGAAAACTACATGGTCACAAAGGAACCCTAATGGCAGAATAGATAAGTGCTCAGGTAACGCACTAAAAAGCTAACAGTTTGAACTCACAAGCTGCTCTACTGGAAAAGATTAGGCTGTCTGCCCCCATTAAGTTTATACAGGAAGCCCTATGGGTCAATTCCACTCTGACAGAGTTACAATGAGACAGGATCAACTCAATAGTACACAGTGACATCAAATCACAGCAATATGAGCAACCTTTTATCTAAGCCCAATTTGGACCTTTTTAAAATTCAGTAACTTAAAAGCTGGCTACAAAAAAAATTTAAAGATTATACATATTCACTTCCTCCAATTCTGATGTCACATTTCTCCTCATAAAGAAAGCTCAGTCTCTCAAAATGATCTGTTCCACATATAAATTGAAAAGGATATTCTAATACACCAGATGCTCTACTGGAGAAGTAGGGTCAATCTCCTCCTGTACCAATCAGATCCGATTTGACGGTACACACAAAAATAATTAAAAAAAAAAAAAGAAAGAAAGAAAAGGTATGGAGACAGGTCACATCCCTGATGCACTCCTTTCCTGATTTTGAACCATGTGTGTTTCCTTCTGTTCTAATGGCTGCTTCCTGGCTAAAGTATAGGTTTTACATAAGCACAATTAGATGTCTGGCATTCCCATTCTTCTTAAGGGCAACTACAATTTGTTGTGATGCATAGTCAAATGTTTTTCCACAGTCAATGAAACACAGACAGGGATTCCACTGTACTCTTTGCTTTCAGCCAAGATCCATTTGACATTGCCAGTGAAGTCTCTAGTGCCATGGCCCTTTTAAACCCGGTATTTATTTATGGCAGCTCCCTGTTGATGTATTTTCCAGCCATTTTTTAATAAGATCTTGCTTGCGTTGTGATACGAGAGATATTGTCCAGTAATTTCCAAACTGCTAGATCACCATTTTTTTGAATGGGAATAAATATGGGTCTCTTTCGGTCAGTTGACCAGGCAGTTGTCCTTCATATTTTTTGGCACAACCTGGTAATAATGTCCAAGGCTGCATCTGTTTGTTAAAATACGTCCATTGATATTCTGTCAATTCCTGGAGTTTTGTTTTTTGCCAATTCCTTCAGAGCAGCTTGAACTTCCTCTCATCACCACTGCTTCATTATCATACATTGTTTCATGAAATTCTTCTATGTCAGCTAATTCTTTTTGGTACAGTGACTTGGTGTACTCCTTCCATCTTCTTTTAATGCTACCTAGATTATTCAATATTCTGCCCATCTTTAAGTACTATAACTTGAGGCCTGAATTAGTTCTTTAGTTCCTTAGGTTTAAGAAATGCTGACCAGGGGAGCTCTGGTGGCCTAGTGGCAAGAAGCTGCACTGCAATCCCAGAGGCGCACAGTTCAAATCCACCAGATGCTCTGCTGAGGAAGGAGGGAAAATCTCCTCCTGTACCAGTCAGATCTGATTTGACGGTATACACACACAAAAATAATAATAAAATTAAATTTTTTGTTAAAAAAAGACTAAAGTTAAAAAAAAAGAAAAGAAATGCCGACTAAGTTCATCCCTTTTGATTTGATTTGCTTACTCCAGCTGTTTGCATATTTCACTGTAACACTTGCTTTGTCTTCTTAAGCTGCCCTTTGAAATTTTCTTTAGCTCCGTAACCTCCTGATACCTTCCTTTTGCTTTGGCTTCTTTGCATTCAGAGTCTCTTCTGACATCCTTCTTGGTCTTTTCTTCCTCCTCTGTCTTTGTAAATACCTTCTGCATTCTTCATGGATGATATTCTTGATATCCTCCCACAGATCATCTGGTCTTCATTCACTAGTGTCCATAGCCTCAAACATGTTCTTGAGATGGTTTTAAAATTCAGGTGAGATAGACTCAAGGTCAAATTTTGGTTCTTGTGGATTTGATGCACATGTTATGCAGATAATACACCATGCTTGTCGAAAAGGAAGAGGACCTGAAGTGCTTGCTACAGAAGGTCAAGGAATGCAGTTTTCAATATGGATTGAAGCTCAACACCCAGAAAACAAAGATTCTCACCACAGGGCCAATTGGCAGCACCAGGATGGATGGAGAACACATTGAGGTTGTTAACAGTATCAATTTGCTTGGTTCCACAATCAACACTTTTGGCACCAGCAATCAGAAAATCAAAAGATGAATTGCATTAGGAAAATCTGCTGTCAGACATCTCTACAGAGTGTGAAAAACAAAGACATCAGTCTAAGGGGAGCTCTAGTGGCCTAGTGGTAAGGAGTTGCAACTACAATCCCAGAGGCACACGGTTCGAAGCCACCAGATGCTCTGCCGGGGAAGGAGGGACAATCTCCTCCTGTACCAGTCAGATCTGATTTGACGGTACACGCACACAAAAATAATAAAATAAAATTAAAAAAAAAAAAGACATCAGTCTAGAGGCCAAGCTGCGCCTGATAGAGCCCTTGGTCTTAGCAATTACTTGCTATGGATCAGAAAAATGGACAGTGAATAAGCACAAGAAGAATGGACGCCTTTAGTTGTGATGCTGGAGCAAAATTAATGGGGGAGAGGGGGAAAACCTCAACCTTGAGTAATCTTTAAACTTTAAAACAAAAATATTTCCTGAAGGCTTCTTCAAATCAAACAATAGTTTAGCTTAACTGATAAACAATATTTCCTTGTGCATGAAACTTTTTAAGAACTAATTATATGGGCTACAAATTGATACAACTCAAAAGATCAGACAGACTCTTTACCTTAGGGAGCCAAGTAGAATAACAGAGTCAAATGTCGCTGAATTGTACATGGAGAAACTGTTGAACTGGTATGTTTTGTCATATATATATTCCCAATAAAATAAGATAGAGAATAAAAAGTAAAAAAAGAGAAATGTCTTTATTACAGAATAGAAATAGAAAAGTAAGGAACAGAAGGATGAGCAGAAGCACTGGAATCAGCTGACCATTAGAAATGAGAGCAAGGATGAAGAGAGATGGAGCAAGACACTGCTGCAATTTATGATTTGTTACTGTTGTTAAGTGCCATCGAGTCGAGCATGATTCATAGAGACCCTGTGAACAAAAAACTTGAACCCTGTTCCATAAGTATCGTCATTTCTCTATGTTCATAGTTTCCAGAGGCATGTGGATGCCACTCCTGCTTCCAAACCTGAATCAATCTGGAAGCTCCACCAAACACTGCCCACCATGGGTAACCATTAGGACATTTGACACACTAGTGGTACAGAGTTCAGCATCACAGCAACCCCAAGTTAATTCAGTATAGCAAACTGACATTTAGCCTTTTATAGTATCTCACTTTTAAAAAAAAAAAGAAAAGGAAAAAAAAAGGTGTTGGCTAATGGGAGCCAGAGTCTGAGTTCTAGTTCTGACTTTGCTAGTTAAGGGGGTAATATCCTGAAATGATGGCCTGGTATTACTCACCTGCAATAACTTGACGGCCTCTACCTTTTCCATCCTTAGCACCTTCAATGATACCTGGGAGATCCAGAAGCTGTAAGATCAGGGACACAGAGAAGAGGAAAAAATGATAAACTGGTTATAAATCACAGCAGATAAAATAAAATTTAGGAGACTGAAATCCAGTTTTACTATGCAAAAATTAAACACCAACTAAATGTCGGCCACAGGGCTGGCATTTTAACCTGCTAAAATAGATCTTACTTTTAACTACCAATGCTGTGGTTGATTAGCTTATGAAAAAGCCTAACCTCTCTGTAAACTTGTGTTAAAATGATATTTTAAAAGAAAGATTATTAGCTTAGAGGTTAAGTAACTTGACCAAAGTCACAGTACTATTTATTTAACGATAAAGGTTAACATTATACCTTGGTTTTGGGAGGTCAAATTCTTCTTGGTTAACATCTTTTAGAGAACCATAACTTTTCAGGATTAACATACAAATACCTTACTGTAGATAAGAGCTGGGTAAGCACATATTTGAAACCTCTGTAAGCTTTCCAATTCATAAAACATTTCTACCGTTTTTCTTGACCAAGAGAACACATGAGAATTACCTGGAAAACCTTTGAAAAGGCAGAGAACTAGGCCCTACATCTGCATATTGTGTTTTAGAAGAGCCCAAGTGAGACTCCGATAGAGTGGTATACTTCAAAAGGTTCCATGGGTAACTCTGATTTGTATCCCCAATTGAAAATGACTGTTCAATTGCTCAGGATATGGAATAAAGTAATATTTAAGATGCTGTGATGACAACATCAAAGGCTGATGTGATGAAAATACGTTGGCACTAACTAAAGGAAATGGTTGCACAACACACTGACTGCCACTGTCACTTTACAATTGTTAATTTTATGCTATGCCAATTTCACCTAAAAGTAATTTAAAAAGAACTAATTTAGAAGGTGCAAAACAGTTTAATTTCTCCATTCATGTCCCTTCTGAAGAGTTCATCTTTTTCCTCATTACATTAAAAAAAAAAAAAAAAAAAGAGTAGGAAAGGAAGCACTAGTCAAACTGAGCTATCTTATTCTTTTAAGGAGTCGCAGTGGATGTTGTAAACAGTTAAGAACCCAGCTGTTAACCTAAAGGCTCAAGGTACCAGTCCATTCAGAGGCATTTTGGAAGAGAGGCCTGGTAATCACTTTCCCCAAAAAATCAGTCACTGAAAATCCTACAGAGCACAGTTCTATTCTGAAACATTTGTATCCCTAGGAATTTTATTGACTGATTTTCTTAGCCAATGCGCCTCATGCACAGCCATCACATAGCCCCCAAGTGGAGGCCGGCATATTGCCATGACACTAAACAGGTTTCAGTTGACTTTACAGAAAAAGACAGACCAGGATGAAAGCTCGAGACACCTACTTCCAAAAATCAGTCAATAAAAATCCTAGGGATACAATCCTATCCATAAGCAAATTATAAAGATGGTTCTGGTCCAGGCAGCATCTCATTCTATTGTGTATGGTGCAGACATGAGCAAGAGGTGGACTTGACAGTGATGTATCAGAGAAGATGAGAATGGCACAGGATGGGACAAGGTTCAGATCTATTGTTCAAAGGATCGCAATGAGCGGTAGTCAACTCAATGACACTTAGCAACACTGTCAACGAAGTCCTACCTTATACAAAGCAGAAATCTTACTCCTTAAAAGCCTCATCAATAGGTTCTAACTTTAACACGTTGCCGCACACTTTTTAAATTGACGACCGTGCTTAGAAACACACCTGCTGTCATTTGCGGCAACGTTTAAATACAAAGTCACAAAAATCAGAAAACGTGTGCTTTTTCATAAAACAGCCTTTTAAAAAGCATATGAGGGCAGTCATTCAGTTAAGTATGTTCAAGAGTATACACTAACTCGGTTTCTAGAGAAAAGGTACAAATAAGGAAGAAGCAGAGAGGCAAGGGAAAAAAAATCCCCCAAAAAAGTTTTTTTGGTAGGAAACATGATGTACTTTTCCAAGGTTCGGTCCTTTGTGGGGCCACATGTCCAAAGTATATGAGACGGGGCTTCAAAATCCTGCAAGGAGAAACTTGGTTTCACAGTCTCCAAGATGGACCTATTTGTTTTCTTGGTGGTCCACGGTATGTTGAAGACTCTTCTCCGGCACAATTCAAAGGCATCAGTTCTTTTTCTATCCTCCCTAGTCACTATCTCGCTTTCTGGTAGGTACATGGCAAGTAACTGCAAAGGCCATGGACTGGATCAGGCACACCTTAGTCTCTAGACAAGACACTTGCTTTTCAACACTCTGGAGAGGTCCCTGATAGGCGATCTACCTAATGCAACTCATTTTTTATTTCCTGAATGCTGGTGCCAAGAGTGCTGACTGTGGAACCAAGTAAGCTGTGTTAACAACTTCAATGTCTTCTCCATCCATCATGGTGCTGCCAACTGGCCCCATGGTGAGAATCTTTGTTTTCTTGATGTTGAGCTTCAATCTATATTGAAGACTACAGTCCTTGACCTTCTGTAACAAATGCTTCAGGTCCACTTCAGTTTCAGCAAGTAAGGTTGTATCATCTGCATAACACAGGTTGTTGATGAGTCTTTCTCCAACCCTGATGCTGTATTTCTCCTCATAAAGGCAGCCTCTGAATGATCTGGTTTTCACTACTGAAAAGATATGGAGACAGGATGCATCCCTGACGTACTCCCTTTCTGATTTTGAACCATGAAGTGTTTACCTGCTCTGTTCAGAGGAGTACTTCCTGGTTCAAATATAGGTTTTGCATAAGCATAATCAAGTGTACTGGGATTCCCATTCTCAAGGCTAACCACAATCTGTTGTAATCCACACAATCCAATGCCTTTGCACAGTCAATGAAATACAGATAGTAAGTATTCTTTTTGTTATTCTTTACTTTCTGCCAAGATCCATCTGACACTGGCAACAAATGTCTCTAGTGCCATGG